CCCCCCCCTTTTCTGATTACATTGTTTTTACATGTCTGGAGTGGGCAGAGATGGGCCTTTTTTTAGTGCCATCAGTCGTTCAGCAACATAATGCGGAAAAAAAAAAGAAAAAAGTGGTGATCATGGGTAAAGGCAGACCGCATTTAAAATTGGATCCGTATCATTTAATTTGAAAATAAGAGATTGGTGAGGCCTTGGTGGAGGAGTGAACCTAATAGTTTATCATGTTTTGTATCTAAATCTGCAAAATACATGACGTCGACTGTTGAATTAACCTTGTGTAGTTGAGGAGGGATAGTGGATGTTGAACATGGAGCTGCCAGGCAGGAAGAAACCAGGAAAAACCCAGAGAGATTCATGGATGTAGTGAAGGAAGACATGCAGAGGGTTGGTGTGAGGATGTTAGGGAAATAGGGAAGATGGAGGCAGATGATCTGCTGTGGTGAAGCCACAACAAGAAGACGTTAGGGTAGCCTACTTAAAGATCAAGCACCTTTGACCATGTGGTGCGTGCATTCAAAAATGGCATAAAAGCCCTTTTTACATGTTTAACTTAGTCAGCTGCATCAGTGGCTTATGAATGCATGAATGTAAGCAGGGCAGTTTGCTGTGAAACAGAAAGCCTATATCACGTTTAGCAAATCACAGTAAATATTCTGATTTTGACCGAACCAATTTAATCATTGCTTTTGCAGTTTAAGTCTCACATCACATCCAAAACAGAATATCCAAACAAGCTGTTGGTGGCTTTATCACGTAGGTGACTTCACTGCTCGTAGGTTTCCAGGTTGTCTTAAGGTTCAATGATCCGCTCTCACTTCCAGCATTACTCAAATTAAATGCTGGAATTTCAAACTCACCAATAAAATCCACGTCTGCGTGTCCATCATCCTTGTATGGCTTGCACAGAGGTTCGCTGTCACAGCTGGCAATGACCGCATCAAAGAACTGCAAAGTGTCGTCCTCAGTTGGAACTGGGGGTGCTGAGGGTTTGGCTCTTGATATCTGTGGTGTAAAATGATAGAAGAAAAAAGAAAACATTTTTGATATTTCCTTCCATGTGATATTGGCTGCTTGGTTTAAGCTTACCGGTCCCTCCTTTTTAGGCGGCGAGGGCGCAGGCTTCTTCTTGGAAGAAACTGTGGCCTTTGCGTCTGTACCCTTCAAGTCGCTCACACTCTTCATGTACTGCCTCCTCAGAGCCACAAGCGCTTCCAGGTATTCAAGGCAGTTCTGATTCTGTGAGTACAGCCATATCCTGTCCTCTTGTCTCTGATAATAGTACAAGGTCGACTCGATGCTCACTGTGCTTTTGCTCCGTTTTAAAGTCGAGCCCGCAGCTGCCTGCGTTTTCTCTCCTACAACGAGCATGGAGGTGCTGCGCACCAGCCTGACAGTGCAAGCGTTGTGGTAGTCCTGCTCTTCCCGACACCCACTACCACCACCACCATCCCGACCTCTCTGTCCATGATGGTTGGGACGGAACACATTATTGATCTTTCTGAACATTCCTCTAAGGACAGTATGTCATGTTGACAGACCTGCTCTCCAGTTCCCCTTTGCACACCATTTATCCATATAGAAAAAAAGTACAAACCAACAAAAAACAGTTGTTGTCCTTTATGGGAGTCCTTATGACATCTTTGCTGGAGCTGTTCAACGGGACCAGAAGCTGTCCAGGGTGCTGAAATTGCCAAACTGCTACCTTGTTGTGCTACAAGAGCAGATGTGAGACAGGTGTCTAACCTGATCTCAGCATGTCCTTAATGTTATCGGATGTTGCTCAGCAACATTGCTGTAGCAACGGGTTGGTAACTCTACACTTTGCGCTCCCATTACTGAGCAGCAGACCTGTGTCAGATATCTTAACCCACAGGAGATTAAGTGGACAAAATAACTACAGCCACCAATGAAACTCTGGACCTTTTAGTTTTAGCGACTATAGCTGTGAAGCCACCTGTTTACACACCTGATACTAGAGAAAACGAAAGATAATCAGAAGCAGAAAGCTGCAGTTACACATGGGTTTACTCGTTTTGACTTTGGTGGTATTTTGTGCTTTCGAGACTTATAATTCAGCTGCATGAACAACCTAACAGCCTCATGAGTTTATGCTGTTATATATTAGGTTTCCTTTCCTCATTAATAAGAAATAACTTTCTCTCATGTTTCATGCACTGCTATTGTTGGAGTTCCCTATCACAAGCAGAGGAAGTCTGGACAGAAAGGAGTCCTTCAAGCCGACAAGGGGCTTTCATCTCGAAAAAATCCAGGCCATAAATAACACCTGAAACCTCTCAACACTTTCACCACATATCTGATTTAGACTTCAGTGTATAGCTGCACTACAGCAAAGCTTGAGTCAAGTGAGGAAAAAGAAACTATTTCACGACCATCAAAGCCTCTGGGCTCAAATGACTTTGACAGTTCAGTGCCTGAAGAATAGGCAAAGCATCAAGGAGGAAATGATTATTTGTGGTCACATAACTGAGTGTGAAGTTACCAATTCTGCTTTGCTGTGAACTCAGAGGATGGGAAAAAACAGTTTAAGCTAAAAACAATCAACAATTAATAAAGAAACGCTGTGAAATTTTTGAGGTACTTCAAACATTTGTGGTGTGATCTGCCATAAAACGAAAACAGGAATCAGTTATCTGGAACTTTCTGTTTCCTTGTATTTTTATCATATTAAACACGACTTTCTTTTCTGCTTTTATGCAAAGCTCAGTTGCACACCTGCTTTGCGAGGAAATGAAACATCAGTGGTTTCTTTTTACAGCGCACATCTCGCCTTGCTGTCATCCAGCATCTACCATTTTACCTCATAGTGCAAGAAGGAAATCTGTTGTGGAGGTAGGCACGTCTTATTTAGGTTTGCCAGGTATAAAGGGTTTAAATAATCAGGGAAAATACCAGCTAAATCCAGTGAAAACAACATATTAGTTGTAAAGATTACAAGCTGAAATGCATTAATGATGAGAGCAGAAGTTTGCAGACTTGGGATCAAGGTGAAAAGGGATAGTCCCACTTCCTTTTTGGGTTGTATAAAACAACAGCCAGGTTCAGACTCCAAAACAGACTTTTGAGAGAACCGCTTTAGGACGTTTAGTGCCAAAATACAGGTTTTAAGCTTTTCTGTGACTCAGATCTGAGGTAGGAAGATCATTCTTTTTAATAGATGAACAGTCTTTGGAAGTGTTAAACCAACATATTCTTCTGTTACATGTAACTTCTTAAACTCCAATTAAATTTTGAAATAGTCTGCAAAGACTTTTCAACAGGGATCAATTGTGCAGCAGAAATAGTTTGATGCTTCTTATAATGCTTATGCAAAATGTTCTCTCACTGTTGCTTTTGTCCCGTTTTGGTGCCTTTATTCAAATGCATACTGTTTGTATGCACTTAAATAAAAGCCTATAGGGATGTGTGCTGCAAATGCTATTTCCTCTCTCTCTCTCTCT